GTTAACCCAAGTGCCCCCCAGTGGTTTGCCAGGGAAAGTACAGCCCGATGGAGCCTGCCGGAAGTGGGGACTCCACCCTAGGCTAGGAGATCCCCACGGCTGCCATCCGCCTCCAAGACAGACTCGTAGCTAGAAGAGGTCCCAGAATTAGGGGAGCCTCCTGCATACCCAGAAGGCTCTTGGCGCTCTGCAGAACCACGGCGAGGCCGGGAACCCCACTGTAGCTGCAGGGTGGCTTTTCAGTCGGTGGGTCTCTCTGCGTCATCTTTCCCTTGCCATTTAGTGGTCTTCCTGCCAGTGTTTCCCCGTGGAACCCAAGTTCTGTTCTTCGTCTTTTCTTCAAATGGCTGGCTAAAGCACACACCTTGCCTGTTTCTGTCCGCAGGTAGAAAAACTGGCAAGGACACTGTTCTTATGGAAGATCGAGGTCCACGACCAGAAGGAACGTGTCTACGAGATGCGGCGCTGGAATGAGGCCTTGGTCACCAACATGTTGCCTGAGCACGTGGCACGCCATTTCCTGGGGTCCAAGAAGAGAGATGAGGTGAGGGGTGGCCTCACCCAGTAGCCCGTGTGGGCCCAAGGCCTCCTCAGGAGTGGGCACTGGTCCAGGCAGGGCTGCACGCAAGCGGCAACTGTAACATGTCACAGGCTTCCGGTAAAGGGCACCGCTTAGATGTTTTCTGTGGGCCACACATCCCTGGAAGGCCCCAACCTCTGTCAGCTGTGATCTCCTCACACAGATGGGTTCTTATGCCTCACTTCACCATTTCTCAAAGCCAGGGCTGTTACAGGGCCCAGAGAAACTTTACTTGTTCGAAGTTGCGATGAGCCACTTCCTTATAATTCAAAGTTGGGATGTCCATCCAAAAAGCTGAGGACACTGATCATGGGTGTGGAAGAGAGTCATTTCTGGGGCACGTCATTCCACCAGTGTTTCTCTGAGCACTCTGGCCCTGCCTCTTCTTAGGAGCTGTACAGCCAGTCTTACGATGAGATTGGAGTCATGTTTGCCTCCCTGCCCAACTTTGCCGACTTCTACACAGAAGAGAGCATCAATAATGGTGGCATTGAGTGTCTGCGCTTCCTCAATGAGATCATCTCAGATTTTGATTCTGTGAGTACCCATCCTGCCCCTCTCCTGCCCCAAAGCCAGCTCTTTCCAGATTCTATCTCAGGACAGGCTGCAGGGGTCAGAGAAATGGTAGTTACCCTTGCTGCTCTGTTTTCCCGTATGAGCCTCTCCCAGTAACGTGGGGGCTTCTGCTGCCTTGGGGGGTCTGAGTGGGGAAGACAGGAGCCCGGGAAGTAACCTACAAGATCACAGCATAAGGACTGGCGCAAACAAGATCCTGAGGCACCGGATTCCTCCTACCCTCAAATTCAGATTCAGTAAATATTAGGTAACTTGTATTGCCAAGAAAATACTTTTACATAAACGCTCAAGCACCCCAGGGGCCTGGCAGTTTTGTCCCATGTTAAGGTCACAGAAGCACAGGCTTCATCAGCAAGTCTGCCTAACATGAGGTGACCAGTAAGTGGCAGAATTGATAGTTTTAGGAAAGCATCTCTTGGATGTCTTGTGGGGTTGTTGTAAACAGGCACATCTGCCACTTAGTTGGCTCATTTATCTCCCTGGACTCTGCTGACCTTTCTCTCTCCTTTGATACTGGCCTCAGCTCCTGGACAATCCCAAATTCCGGGTCATCACCAAGATCAAAACCATTGGCAGCACCTATATGGCAGCTTCAGGAGTCACCCCAGATGTCAACACCAACGGCTTTGCCAGCTCCAACAAGGTAGCTGACCACCCCATGGCTGGAGGAGATGGGGCTCTGCCTCCTGGGGCAAGAGCGCGGCAGTCCACACCTAGCGTGTGAGACAAGGAGTCACAAGGGTAGCTGACACTAGTGAGCACTGTTGGGTCAATGGGTCACACACACACCACTAGCACCATGTGATGCAAATTTAAAATCAGATTTACTGGGGCGCCTGGGTGGCTCAGTTGGTTAAGCGACTGCCTTCAGCTCAGGTCATGATCCTGGAGTCCCGGGATCGAGTCCCACATCGGGCTCCCTGCTCGGCAGGGAGTCTGCTTCTCCCTCTGACCCTCTTCCCTCTTGTGCTCTCTCTCTTTCTCTCTCTAATAAATAAAATCTTAAAAAAATAATAAAAATAAAAAAATAAATAAAATCAAATTTACTGGCCAAGTTTAACAAGCAGAGGAAGAATAGGGTACACAGCCCCCCACTGGTGCACAGCTTAGGTTAGGCATAACTGCTCTAATCGTGGCCATGCTCCCTTCGTGCTCTAGACTTTGGAAAGAACTGGGGAGTGGCGACCATCAAAGCAATTATGTAACAGTGAAAACATCCAGGTTGGAAGTAGTTCTGATAGGAAAGGGGTCTTCGGAGCTCACTGGCTGGCATCAGCCTGTTCTATCAGACCTGTGGAGCAGCTGTTTATGAAGAGGAAGTGAGCTGCGGGGGGGGGCCCTGGTCCTAACAGCTGTTTTTAGACTGTTATCATCCTGTTTTATCTTACAACTGTTCTACATAAGTACTACTACCATCTCCATTTTATGGATGAGGCTAAAGAAATGTGTCTAAGATGGGTCATGACCTTCAAGGGCTTATAATCCAGTTAAGGAATGAAAATGAGAACTATCCCAAACTTCAGAGCCCAGGTTCAGGCGAGGTGATGGCAGACAGGAAGTGATATAGCTGACCGGGACCGCTGTTCCCCACCTGTGGGCCCTAAGGGATGCAGGGCAGTGGTCAGTGACAAGCCGAGGTTGAGGTCACGGACTCATCTGTGGGAAGTGGAGAGTAGGGCCTCTGACAACGCGGTGCAGGAATTCACCTGCAGAATGCTGTGACGGGGAGCGAGGTGCCGATACAGGCTCCTGACGCTCTCGCCGCTGCCCCCCGGCCTAGGAGGAGAAGTCAGACAAGGAGCGCTGGCAGCACCTGGCCGATCTGGCGGACTTCGCTCTGGCCATGAAGGATACGCTCACAAACATCAACAACCAGTCCTTCAACAACTTCATGCTGCGCATCGGTAAGTGTTCTCGGGCCTGTGTGCTCCTTGCCACGCTCCCTGATGCGAGGGACTCGGCACATCAGCAGGAAGGGCGGAGAGACTTAGCCCTAGAGGCATTTAGGTTGGGGAGGGTCACACAGGCACAGCTCTGGGACCTTAGGGATCTCTTCCAGGTGATCGGACGGCACATCTGGTGAAATGGTGGCCAGCTGTGTGTGTCCCACACCGTTCGCCGCGATTAGCCTGCCTTCTGAGTGTGGCCGCGAAGGCAGGCTGTCCACCTCCCCAGGCAGTCTTGCATGCCTGCAGGGAGCTTTGTTGCCTCAGTCCAGCCTGTTTGTTAGGAGTTAATATCCCCTGCTGTCCCCACTGTGAGGGGGTGGAGGTGGGATTCTCACTTCTGGAGGAGCTCACCTGAAGTACCAGATAGGTGCTGAAACTGGCAACTTCCATACTGCATGAACTAGTTAGCGCATTGGCCAGGACAGGATAAACAGGAGACGTATCTGCCCTCTGGTGGCTTCAAGACAAGCTTCATGAGGAATACGTTAGCGGACTTAGGAGCTTTGTGGTTGGGGTCAGGTGGTGAATCCTTTGGGAGAGGAGCTTGTGGCTTCTGAGATGGGATAGTGAAGGGGATAAAATATGGCTCGTGGCTGTGCTCAATTTTATGTCCCTCCACCAGGCATGAACAAAGGAGGGGTCCTGGCTGGGGTCATTGGAGCCCGGAAACCACACTATGACATCTGGGGCAATACGGTCAATGTGGCCAGCAGGATGGAGTCCACAGGGGTCATGGGCAACATTCAGGTATGTCCAGCAGCAGAGCAGAGTGTGTGCTCAGGCCCGGGGGCCGGGAACAAAATCGGACTAGGGCGTGTTGCCCTGGCCTTCTGCCTTTCTGTGGGCCCAGAGTGTCGAGGGGGTGCTTCTGGGAGACTGCAGGCAAGGGTGGGAAGAGCTGCCCCAGTGGAAGGGAGGAAATACTTCACTCCCCTTTCCAAAATTTAGGCTTAACTTCTCGGTAAGACTATCCTGCCTTTTGGTATGAACTTTCTGATCTCGTGCCTCCAACAACCCCCCTGGAGCCTCCCCAAGCCGTGCCAGCTGGGTCTGGCAGGAAGGCACCACAGAGCGGGGAGAAGAGACAAAAGAAGAGGGAGTGATGCTGCCCCAGGCAACCTGGGGCCGCCCTCCAGGGGCAGCAAGCACTACGGCGAGCGCTGTGGCCGTGCCCGCTGCTCTGCAGACGGGGGCGGCCTCTCTGGGACCCGCGGCCCCGCTCGGAGCTCACGTGACGTTCTCCCTCTACAGGTGGTGGAAGAAACACAAGCCATCCTTCGAGAGTACGGCTTCCGCTTTGTGAGGCGAGGGCCCATCTTTGTGAAAGGGAAGGGGGAACTGCTAACCTTTTTCCTGAAGGGGCGTGAGAAGCCAGCTGCCTTCCCTAATGGCTCCTCGGTCACCCTGCCCCACCAGGTGGTGGACAACTCCTGAATGGCCTCCAGCCCCAACACAGTCCAAATGGGAAGGGAGAATCTATTTTTTGGAATCAAAGAAAGGCCTTGGGAGAGGACACATGACCAAGTCCCAGCATTCCCAAACTGAAGTGCACACTCACATAGACTTTAGGTTTAAAAATCTCCTCAAGCCTTCATTTGTTCATGGATACGTGAGCTCTGAGGGCAGCCATACTACTCCTCAGTGTGCCTGTAGCTTCCTCAGAGAGTAGGGGTCTTAGGTGTAGTACTGGAACAATCCTTCCAGAGCTCTGAGTCTGACCAGCCCTCCTTCCCCCAGAGAGGCCATGGCCACTGTGAGCAGGAAATGTGTCCAAGTTGGAACAAAGCTGCCTTTGCTTCTGGGCTGGGAGCACAGATGGGAGAGCTGGGCTTCAGACGAGGACTTGGCAGGACTTGACAGCTGAGCAGGCAGGTGTTCTGCTCCCCAGCGCTCACCTGGAAGCAGTCTTTCAAGCTGGAGACCTGCTCGTCTCCATGTGGTCTGGGTTAGGTGAACTGGCCCTCATGCTGATGTTCCTGATAATCTTGAAAGGTTCTTCTGGAACCCCTGCCACCTTAGTCATGAGAACAGAAAGTGCAATATTTCCTTTTACCTGGTGGGGGGGAGGGAAAGGGAATTTATTTCTGAGAGAAAAATATATAAACAGATCTTCTACATTTATATTTTTAACTTTCTGTTAAAAAAAAAAAAACACTTTCCAATATTGCCTTGCCTCTTGAGCTCTTGCTACAGTCGCCTTTGCTACTGCTTTAAAAGAGAATTTGCAGGTATTGATAAAGAACAAGACTGTTTTATTAAAAGCTTTACTCAACTTGAATGTGATCATTGTGCAACTTCTGTTAAGTACTTTGCTAACTCACACCACGCATCCTTACCATGTGCCTGCAAGGCAAGAGCCTGAACTAAGACATCTGATTATTCTCAAGCTTTCTTCTAAATGGTGGTACAAGTGGACTCTACCTGTCCCCCTGGGCGCCCACACATGTAGGTTGGGTCATCTGGTCCAGGAAGTGACTGTGTTAGGGCCTGAATGCAGCTCTGGGCCCAGGGCAGGAAGGTCTCCTATTTGTGACTGCGCAAAGCGGGGACAGGCCCTGAGATAGCTGGACCCACCAAACACAGGCTTTCACATCTGGGCATCATCCCTATAACAAAACACTGTCAGCAAGGCTGAGACGGGGATTATAAGATAAGGAGAAATGATCCACTACTAAGATCAGGAGACGGGGAAGACAACTGTGGAGCTGTGGCTGAGAGCCTGCAGCAGTGAGATGAGGAAGGGCCTGCTGCCCTTTACAACCACCGAGTTTGAGTAGGCTTCTGATCATGCTTTTTTATAACTGACTGAATACATTCAACTCTCTACGAACATGTTTAGAAAACAAAGTATTAGCTACACAGAGCCCGATTATCCACAGTACTTACACTGTATTCTTTATAAAACCGTAGCCTAGAACACACTGCTTCAAACTAAAGATCAAACACACTTTCCTTAACCGTGTTATTCCTGTCATATCAGGAACCTGGAGTGTTCTAAGAACTTTCTTTTCAAAAGTCTCAGGAAAATGAGGCAGAATTACTTAAAGCTTTCATAAAAGTTAGGAATACTCTTTCGTTAAAAGGTACATACTCCCTCTTTCACAAAATGCCTTCTACTGCCCCATCATCCCTTGATTTTCAGCAAAAACGTATGATCAAATCAATACCTCAACTGTCCAAACTTGCCCCTTATCACCCTGATGAGGTATGTGACTGTTCTCACTGCAAGGATGGGCCCCAGGCAAGGGGTCTGAGCCTTTCAACAGTTTTCAGTTGCCAGGACCTAGCCTGGGACTGTGCATAGAATTATTTTACTCACTTCTGTCGTGTTCCCAATGAAAATATTCTAGGAGACCAGGCTCATATCCAACTTTTCTCCTTTTCTTGCAAATGAAGTAAACACTTGATGTAGGGGCTTTGAAAAAAACAGATTTTCATGGGATGCTCGCTGTTCTTCCCAGGAGGAGGATAATGCATCCGTTCCTAAAACAGATTATATCAATCTCATTTAGTGCAACTGGGGGTATCAGAACCCAGATCACTGATGTTCTGGACCCATGTAACCTTTCTTTTTTTTTTCCTGGTCTGGAGCTGAGACTGCCCTTTATTGGACCAGTGAAATTTTGAGACCTGAACATCCTCTGCCCAGAAGTCTAAAACCTATGGTGTGAAATCTGTGGCAGCTTCAAAACTTCCACCTCCTAAAAATATTTGATCCTATTTTTCATTATTGCCCAGGTCACATTACTTCGGTACATTTAACTAAAACAATAACACAATCTCTCTCAGCCAGTCCTAAAAAACTCCCGTATACAAAAGATGCTTTAGAGAGCTAAGTGTATACTTATTTGTCTAACTGACTTCTTAGTGAAATGAGTCTTTTGGCTTTCTTCACCATAAGTGACCCTACGACTCAACCTCATTAGCTGTCTCTCCTCAGGAGGGGTCTCCAATGACAACAAATTATAAACCGAAGGAACACTGGCAGAGTCAGATGAAGCAAAGGAGGTGGGAACTAGGGTAATTATGTTTACTACTTACAAAGAGGAGAGGAAAAATGGTAGAAGGAAAATATTCTTTGTATTTTACTGAGTAAATTTCTAGTAGATTAACAGAAGAATGGGTCTCCAGAGGTCCCACTGATACAGTCTACCTATTTTACCCTGTCTCATTCAACCTGAATCACACAGAGCACATTATCATTTCTCCATCAAGGCACCCTTCCTCACCCTGGTACGTAACGGTGACGTCAGTTGGCAGGGCTGTCGTGAGGTCCTTATACAGCAGTCTGGCACAAAATGGGAATGACTGACCCCGTGGCTCCACTTTGTAAGTAAATGACAGCAAGTTGCACAGTGAGTTTCTCCGCAAGGGCCCAGCCAGAAAGGCTGCAAAGTCACTCTGAGGAGGGTGGGGATCAAAACAGACACAAAATATATGATGATTACAGTTCCAAAGGCAGTGAGTGGTTGTGACACTTCAAACACATCTACAAAAATAGGGCCCATGAATCAAATTTCAGAGAAATAAAGGGCAGAGAAAAGCCTGTAAAAAGGACTCATGATAAAGATTTATAAGATTATAACTAAGAGTTGGCGGCATCCTAGAAAGGCCTGCAGAAAGCACTGAATGAATGGCCGGGGCATAAGGGAGATACATTTTCTTTGTATAGCTGGCTAAGATGCTTCGTGTCTGCATTCTCGTATCAGTTTAACTGACAACCAAGAGCTTCAGAGGTATTCTAAATGCATGGAGGTGGGGGGGGAGGGGAAGAGGACACCAAGCTTATAAAAGTCACATATTCCTTATCTGCATTCATTTCCCGTCTACTTAAAAAAATCTGTTTTAGTCCAACCCTAGCTCCATTGCAACCCCAAAAAGGTAGGCCAGAGTTTAGACAAAGATAGATAGTATTCCCCTATGTATTATTCTGCTTTGCTTCTATACCTATGGTTCAGCAAGGCACTTGGCACACAGTAGGTACTCTATAAATCCCTGTGAATTAAAAGCATAGAAACTATACAAGCATACATTGGAGATACTATGGGTTCAGTTCCAGACCACTGCAATAAAGTGAGTCAAATGAATTTTTTGGTTTCCCAGGACAGTTATGTTTACACTACACTGTAGTCTATTAAGTATGCGATAACATCATGTCTAAAAAACTAATGTACACAATTTAAAAATACTTTATCGCTAAAAAAATACTTTTTTGCTAAAAAATGCTCACCATCATTTGAACTTTTAGTGAGTCGTAATAAATAATCAGATCACAATAACAAATAATGAAAAATTTGGTAATATTCCAAGAATTACCAAAATGTGACAAAGAGATACAAAGTGAACAAATACTGTTGGAAAAATGGCACCGACAGGCTTGCTTAACACAGAGTTGCCACAAACCTTCAATCTGTAGAAAAAAACGCAGTATCTGTGAAGCACAATAAAGAGAAGTACAATGAGATGTGACTGTACTACTTTGTGAAGGGAAGAAAGGGTCAAGTATATAAGCCTGAGGACCACCATCAAGGAGTAAATAATCCCTTAACCAGTATCCATGCTTCAACAGCATCCAGAGTTTCAACAGGGGAAGAAGGTGGAAAATAGCTTGTATATAAATAAGAAACATGCATCAGAAGGATAATGGTCAAACTTCTGGCTCAGAATTATAAAACATTTTAAAATACAAAAGAAAACTTGACTGCCCCCCCCTTTTTCCCTTTTTTTTTTTTTAAAGATTTTATTTATTTATTCATGAGAGAGAGAGAGAGAGGCAGAGGGAGAAGCAGGCTCCCCGCTGAGCAGGGAGACCCATGTAGGGCTCGATCCCAGGACCCTGGGATCATGACCCGAGCCGAAGGCAGACGCTTAACTGTCTGAGCCACCCAGGTGCCCCCCTTTTTCCCTTTTTAAGCCTATTCTGGGCTCATAAAATATGCTATATAAGATTCCAGACAGAGGCGCCCGGGTGGCTCAGTCAGTAAAGTGTCTGCCTTCAGCTCAGGTGATCGTGATCCCAGCATCCTGGGATTGAGCCCCACATCAGGCTCCCTGCTCAGGGGGAGGTCTGCTTCTCCCTCTCCCTCTGCCGGTCCCCCGCTTGTGCTCTCTCTCTCTCTCGGTCAAATAAGTAAATAGAGTCTATAAAAAAAAAAAAAAAAATCCCAGGCAAGATACCTGAAGTCGATCTGCCTGGTACTTCCTCCCAGCATAAGCGTTTAGGTATTCACAAAGACAGAACAGGAAGTGCTGAATATTAGTCTGTAAGTATTTTGCAGATAACTCCTCTAGGGGGATGAAGACTGGAATTGAATGGTGATGTATCCGAAGTGGCTTTTGTATGACAAGGTCGATAAAATAGGAATCCAGCAGATTTCCTTCAAAAGCAGTGCTGATGCAGACACAGACTCCTCGGCTGGTCAGTTTCCCACTGAGCCCTGAAGCAAACAAGATGAAACCTCTCAACAGATGTCAGAAAAGGTAGTATCTTCTTCAGCTGCGTATCCCATTCACTTCAGCACTGCCTTGTACATACAGTATGTGTTCAAACGTGTGTTGAAGGAACATCATAGACTCTTTCTTCTCACTCACTCTGGCTCACTTTGAATTTGAGTTGTTAAAACCACAGAAGATGGTTGGTGGAAACGATAAAACATCCTAATATCAAATTATCGAAGAAGAGATTTTGAAATTTTCATTTTACCTCTTACTTTCCTCTGAGTGTCAACTAATGTACAATAGTCCATTTCCTTCCACAATCCTCTATGCCATAGATAATGGGCAGGATAAATCCCTTTTAATGGGGAAACAGAGACTAAAGGGTTCAAATTATTTGACCAGTGGCATCAAGCCAGCCAGCAGCAAAGGCAGTTCTAGTACAAGTTCTGAAACACACTGAATAGCTAAAATGAATAATCTAAGCCAGCCACCAATCAATCTTCTGCAAAAAGAGGCCAATTTTGTAGGTTAAGATGCCTACAAATAGTATGCCAGCTTTGTGTGTGTATGCTGAGGAAGGCAAAAACCCATGGTTATGAAATAAGTCCAGGACTAATAATATATCTAGCAAACCAACTCACTAGAGACAAGAGACTGAGACTGGAAGAGGTCAGAAAATAAATTATACCTGTAAAACGATATGCCTGCAGAATGGCTTTCACATTTTCCTTTCTTCTTTTTGCAACTTCTTGCTCACTGATTTCTGGTGTTTGGTCAGGTTCTACATTGACAGTAGATGCTTTAACCTGTAAAATAATGTAAGTCATTATCACTCAAACACCAATCAATATGTATCACCACATTAATAAAAGAAAAGCCATATGACCACCTTAATTTATGCAGTAAAAACATTTAGTAAAATTCAATACCTGATCACAATTAAAACTCTAGCAAACTAGACATAGAAGAGTATATCCTTAATCTGGTAAGAGTATCTATACAAAATTTAGAGCAAACAGGTTGACCCTAAGACTATTTCTACTCAACAATATACTGAAGATCTCAGCTAATAGAATAAGGCAAGAGAAACAAGCTACAAGGATTGAAAAGTAAAACTGTTATTGTATGCATACGGCATGATTCCAAATGTAGAAATCCCAAAAGAATAGAGAGATAAACAGAATTAATGTGGATTTAGCAAAGTTGTGATATATAAAGTCAATACACAAAAATCAAATATATTTCTACATGACAATTTGAAAATCAAATTTCTAAAAAATAATACCATATATCAGGGGTCACCAAGATAAGGCTTGTGGGTCAAACCTAACTCAACACTTACTTTTGTAGATAAGGTTTTACTGGAACACACCCATTAATTTACATGTTGTTTGTGCTGCTTCACAATACACAGCAGAGCTGAGCAGCGGCCATAGAGACCATCTGGCTCACAAAGCGTAATATACTGATGATCTGGCCTTACACAGGAAAAGTTTGCTGACCCCTGCCATATACAGTAATATCAGGAAAAATCAAATACATAAAGAAAAATATAATGAATGATTTAAGCCCTCTACACATAAAACTATATACATTGCTGAGAGAAATTGAAGAATAAATGGAAAGATAGACCATGTACACTGCCTGGAAGATGCAATACTGAAAATATTTCAACTCTCTCCAAATTATGTGTATAGATTCATTACAATCCCAATCAAATCTATAGGTTTGTTTTTGGAAACTGATGGCTGATTCCCAAATTTATGTAAAATTCAAGGGGCCAACAGCCCAAGATAATTCTGAAGAAGACGACATATATGACAGGTGTCAACACTTAGCAGTAAATGAACCTCTGGTACTCGGACAAAGACAAACAGACCAATGGAACAGAAGTCAGAAACAGGCCCACAGTGGACCCAAAGATCCATTACAATACAATGGGAAAAGAATGGACTTCAGAAAGTGGTACTGGATGCAGTGGGTATCCATATGGAAAAACAAAAAAAGTATGACCTCTATTTCATACCATACACAAAAATCAATTCCAGATGGACTGTAACTCTGAAAGTAAAAAGTACAATAGAGCTTTTAAAAGATACCACAGAACATCATCCTCTTAAGTTAGGCAAAAATTTATTAAAAGAAAACAAGACCAGTTAAGTAAAAAGTTAGATTCCTAAATCAAACTTCATTTAAATGAAGACTTTCTTTTCATCACAAGATAACATTAGAGAGTGAAAAGGCAAGCCACAGGCTAAGAGAAAAATTATAATACATATCCCAAACAAAGAATTCATACCCAAAAATGTAAAGATTCTACAATTCAGTAAGGGATAGACAATGCAATAAAATTTTTGCAGAAGCCTATTTTTTTAAAGATTTTATTTATTTATTTGAGACAGAGAATGAGAGAGAGAGAGAGCGCACATGAGAGGGGGGAGGGTCAGAGGGAGAAGCAGACTCCCCGCTGAGCGGGGAGCCCAATGCGGGACTCCATCCAGGGACTCCAGGATCATGACCTGAGCCGAAGGCAGTCGCTTAACCAACTGAGCCACCCAGGCGCCCTTTGCAGAAGCCTTCTTGAAAAGCTTATTTTACAACAGAAGACTTTCAAGTATCCAATACAAGTACTTAACAGCATTAGTTATCAGGCAATTGCAAATTACTCCACCATGAGATACTATGACACTCCCACCAGAGTGAAAATTTTTTTAAACTGACAATATCAAGTACTGGTAAAGATGCAAAACAATGGAAATCTCATACACTGGTGCTGGGAATGTAAAATTGGTATAATCACTTCCAGAAACTATCTCGCAGTATTTACTAAAGATAATATATCTACCCTGTGACCTAGCAATTCTACAAGGTATACACCCAATAGAAAAGTACATTTTACTTCAGAAGACAGGAACAAGAGTTTCAGAGCCCCAAAGTGAAACAACCCAAACAACCCAAATGTCACCAACAATATAATTTAGTAAGTAAATTGTGGACTATTCATAAAATGAAATTACTATACAGCAATAAATGCACCAGTTTGGATGAATCTCACAGACAGAACATTCAGCAAAAAAAAAGTCAGACATGAAAGAATTTATACTTTTTACATGTATATGAAGTTCAATGACGTAGTGTTTTATGAAGCATTTTCTTGGCCGTGCAGGAGTTATTGGAGAAGTAGATGTACAGAAAGAGAAACAACTAGCAGACTACTGCAATAATCCTGCCATCCAAATCACCTAGTAAATATTTACAACATATGTGGATACTTGAAGTACAAAGACAATCTAAAGGAAAATTTGACATGTCTTGCTGACTGACCCTGGGCTTGAGAGAAAACTGAAAAGAAAGAAGAATCAAAGTTCACCGTGTGGTTTCAAGTGTGGTCAAGGGAAAGATGGCGCTAATGACAAAAGTGCCAATGACTCAAGTCAGGCTGAAATTGAAGTAACAGGCTCATGTCTGAATTCGGGCTAAGAGACTATTACAAAGAACTTGCCTGCCCTGGGCGCCTGGGTGGCTCACTTGGTTAAGCAACTGCCTTCAGCTCAGGTCATGTTCCTGGAGTCCCAGGATCGAGTCCCGCATCGGGCTCCCTGCTTAGCGGGGAGTCTGCTTCTCCCTCTCCAACTCCCCCATCTTGTGCTCTCTTTCTCTCATTCTCTCTCTCAAATAAATTAAAAAAAAAAAAAAAGAAGAAGAAGAACTTCCCTGCCCTATCAGTAGTGTCTGACAATTATTGGCTCATACTAATATGTAGTTGTAGTTGATTCTACAGGACTGATCACTTGAGAGGTCAAGGGCTGCAATCAATCCAGTGAGATCACAGGTGAAGTCCAGTATACAAATTTGCTAATTCCCAGATCATGCTTGCTCTTTTCACTCCAGGAAAACCTGCTAAGGTCACCCTTGCACTCACTCTGGCTTGACGTTGCTTCGCTTCAGCTCTCAGCTCATCTCGCAGACATCTCAGTTTATGAATCTTGGTCCCAAGAGCGCTTTCAACAGCCTGTGCTCTCTGCAGATCTTCTAAGTTTTTACGGGATCTATTCACTTGAATCTCTAGTCTTTCCAAGTGAGCTAAAACACCTGAGGAAAGTAAAAAGGCAATTTCACAAGAAGCGAGGGATTTCTAACTCTGGCAACAGGGTTCATTTCAAGGGGAACAGAGGGTGACTCTTTTTTCAGAACTTTGGTCAGCTAACGTGTTAGACATTGGCTACAATTTATAAAACCAGAGGAGGTGACAACAGAAATCAATGATAAGCAACCTCACAGGCTCAGCACTAATGTACAAGCAGTCCCTGACCAGGACACTGTCCAAAGAGAGCATTTTCTGAATATAACTCATCTCAGTTACCCATGATAATAAGGACTCAGGGGAAAACGGGGTCACCAAATTCAGACTCTCTCAGAAACTTTTTTTTTAAATGTAGAATTATTTTTTAAATTAGCTTTTATACATGTTTTCCCAAAGTGCTAATGCACTAATTGAGACATCCAGAGAGACTTAAATTAAGTACTTTGAAGCTCTGAAAAGTATTATTCACACAGGACTATAAAGATACACACTAGAGGGAACTGCCAACCAATAATACTGGGTATTAGAAAGGAAAACAAGTTCATGGTTGGACAGAAATTCAGAGGCAAATCTCAGTTCCCAAGAGATTAAGGACCAATACAAGAAAGGTCACAGTTTCAAAATGCCAATCAAGTCTAACAATAAAGCATTTGCTAAACGTTTCCTACATATTAAGACACTTGTGCTACATGCTTTACTTGCAAACCATGTAAAGAATTAAAGCATGTGCTTGAAGAGACTTAAATACTTATCTAACCTCCACAACCACCACTGTAAGGCTATTCTTTGCCTCCACTTTCCAGATGAAGAAATTAAGGCAGAGAAAGGTAAAATAACTTGCCTAAGGCCACGATATTTCCAGTGGCAGAGCCAAGACTCAAACCTAGCTCTAACCAACACCAAAGTCACTGCCTGGCACCGACCCTGCCACAGGTGTAATGCCTAAGTGACCCCGAAAAATCCTGGAAAGAGACCTCACTGGCTAGAACTGTAGCTCTGAATATAAACACTGGGCATATTATGAACGCGACCTATCGGTTTAAAAGGGGGCCGGAGCCTAGAAATGTCTGAAGTAATTTCCTTGTGCAACGAATGATCTGAGCTGCCTGTCCCTTTCAGTCTGCAGTTGGTTCCTTTCACCACATGCTCCCAAACAGGCGAGGTCACACATCCGTCAGAGGAGGAAAGGGCTCGTTTAACAAGGCGTCATCGTGGCAGCAATAATAAGGGGGGAAAGGCGACCCTGTGAATACCTCCTCTGGTCTTGCCGTCATTCGCCCACTCCATCTTCTCAGATTTCCACAGGCCCTCCTATGAAGTTGGGCAGCAAAGCGGTAATAGGGACCCAGATTTCCTTGCTGGTAAAAGTAAAAAGGCAAGAAAGTCACACCTATTCACGGCAGGACGCGCACAACTCAGGCACTCGCCGCCGGCCCCCGGACACCCCAAGTGTCACCGCCAGGGCTCCCCTTCCCTAACCCGCCCCTCCCGTTCCCCGGTCCCGGCTGGCGGTGTCCCCGTCTACCTGCCCCTGCGCGCGCCCCAGAACACGGCTTTGTAAGAGGCCGTTCAGCCTTCCACTCTGGTCACCGCCCCTCCGTCACCGGGCCTTATATTCCCCTTACCTCCGCTCCTCTCGCTCACCCAGGACGAGAATGAGAGTTCCCGCCGTCCAAGGCTTCAAAAAAAAACTCAAACCAGTCGCACCCAGGGTGCTTTGCGCCCCCGCCGTACAAAAACATGGCTGCGCGCAGGGCCCCTCCCTCATCCCGGCATGCACCGGGGAGTAGGCGCGGCCTTTCGGTGGGCCTGGAAGATGGCGGCCTCTGGCGCAGAGCCGCAGATCTTAGTCCAATACTTGGTGTTACGAAAGGATCTATCGCAGGCTCCATTCTCCTGGCCAGCGGGCGCACTGGTAGCGCAGGCCTGTCACGCAGCCACCTCGGCCTTGCACATTCACCGTGACCACCCGCACACGGCCGCTTACCTCCAAGACCTGGGGCGCATGCGCAAGGTGGTCCTCGAGGTGAGGCATCCGGCGGAGGGGGAGGGGTACCGAGGCCATCGAGACCGGAAGTGGGTGTGGTATTGAGGCCGAAACTTAACTTCGTAGCGTGGGTACGGCGGTAGTGGGGAGGAGTCGTTTACATCTATCTAAGCTTGGAAAGGGTTCAGGGCCTTCCGCTCTTGCCTCCGGAGCCTTCCCTTGGCTGGATGGGGTCAGACTGTGTGAAGAGCGGACGTCTGGCCGGTTATTAATGCCTCCCGCACCCGTCCGCTCTCACCCGCGTCCTTCTTAGGAGATGCCTGTGAGGGTGGAGGCCGGTGGAACCTGTGCACTGGGCCAGCCTTTTATTGCAACGCCCAAAGGTACTGTCCCGCTCCCTTCCCGAAAAACCGATTCGGAAGGGATAAGAACACGCGGTTCCTTATTGCAAGTGAAGTGAAACTGAAGCATTACCGGAATATGACGCCTAATTATTTTAAAGTAAATGTGTACCTAATATAAGTTGGACCTAGCATCATAAATAGCAGACACCACCGGTGTAAAATAAGAGGTCAGGTTCTTTTTGCAGATGGCCAAACAGAGCTTACCTTACCTTTTCCCTTCGTCAGTTCTGCTGCTGGAAATCTATCCTAGGAAGATAATCAGATGCACCAAAGAGCATTGTATAGTACGAGAATATTCATAGGAACACTTTATAATAGTAAAAAATGTGGAAATAACCAACACTAGTGTTTGGTTCATTTTATGCCCATAAAATGTGCTATTATAAAGCTAGCATAAATCATGGTTTTGGAGCATATTTAGTTGGCCTGGAAGAGTGCTCATTATGTGATGCTAACTGAACTGTATACAAAATGATTCAGATTTTGGAAGGAAAAACTAAGGAAATACATCCAAATATTAAGCACGTGGTGGGATGTTGGTTAGTTTCTAATGCTTCTCTATTCGCTCTAGTTTTCTACATTAAGCATATATTTTATTTTACACTATAAAATTTATTTTAAACAAACTAGAATCCTGGAGTGGGGTAATACCTTTATGGCTAGCTGGCACAAGCAGATTCTCTGTCAAGAGAAAAACTTCTGTTGGGTAGTAAAACATCAGGCAATAACCTGTGGGGAAATGTCTTGAGAATCTGAGTAGACAGAAAAGAAGCAAATAGCTTTTTATTTATACTCTTTTTATAGGAAGAAGGGCTCAAGAAATATCTGGTTCAGCTACCCCCCTCCCTCATGTTCAGGCAGATAATATATTTATTTACCCCTTTTCTCAGATAAGAGATCGGAAGCCCACAGAGATTAGGTGAGACCCCTAAGTCTGAATGACATCTGATGATTCCTAGCTGTTAGCCATAACTCAAGAAAGGGATCAAAGAGTCACTCCTGATTAAATTAAGGTGGTGCTGTAGCCATAAAGTCCAATAAAATATAAGACCATGCTAGGGCTAACTCCACTTATTGGGTGCTTACTATATGCTAGCCACTAGTCTGAGCCTAATTTCATTGAATCGTCACTGCTGCTAGGAAGCATTATCATCCCTGTTTTACAAAGGGGAAAGAAAGTCCCAGCTAAGACACATTAACTCCTCAAAGATCACACAGTCCAATCACTGGGGCCCCTGGGTGGCTCACTTGGCTAAGTGTCTGACTCTTGATCTCAGCTCAGGTCTCGATCTTGGGGTTGTGAGTTTGGCCCCGAGTTGAGCTCCATACTGGGTGTGGAGCATACTTAAAACACACACACACACACACAAAACAATCAGTAAGGGGCAGAGCAAGAGTTTGGACTCACTGTCCTCTGGTGCGGAAGAAGGGGGGGAGGGGAAGTCCATGAGTCCTCCAGCATGGCTGTGCCCAGAGGGCTCTAGATAAAGAGTGACAATCTCAGCATCTTCTAATTTGATAAGACATATCTCTAGTTATCTTAGTGGCTTCTGCCTTTCTAGGCAAAAAAAAAATATATATATATATACGCCAAATAACACACTAATTATCATTATTTTCTGAGTGCTAGCTTTAATACTTGTATTAATGGGAGTCAGCATGGTGCTAAGGATGAGGAGAAGCAGTGGGAGAAGGATGTGAGAGAATGGTTTGCCCGCTGAGCCCGCCTAGCCAACAAGCAGGCACGCTCCCAGCAGAAGGAAAACCCTTCTGGTTTGGGTGGGATTGGGCGGGAGGGGAGGAAGGAGATGGAGGTGATGTGTTGTTAGAAATCCTTTCCTACTCAACTCTTAATTAAGTCGGAGCTGGCTGAAGGATTCGGATAGCTGCATGGGCACCAGCCGTAAGAGAAGTAGAAAATGTAGAGAGCACAATTATGGACAATGCATACAGCATCTCAGGAGGAAAGAGAAAAATCATCTCCCGTTTTAGAAATGGGCAGATTACACCTCTCCCTCTCCTACCCCCAGGCCGCTTATCTAAGGTCCTACCGAGAGTGAATGGCCAATGGGGTGGTGAAGCTGATGCTTCTGGAGACATGCTCTACAGCTCCTTCATTGAGAGAGCTGTTCCTTCACTTTGAGTCAAGAGGAACCCCCTCCACACTTTCATTCATTGCCTTCTGACACTTCCTAAATGGGCCATTCAGTCTGTGTCCTGTGCTCTGCTCCTGGTAGGCTGCAGATGAAAGCACCCTAAAGGAGCTGGCTGAGACTCTGCAGCAGAAGAACATTGACCACGTGCTTTGGCTGGAGCAGCCTGAGAATATTGCCACCTGCATTGCGCTCCGTCCCTACCCCAAGGAAGAAGTGAACCAGTATTTGAAGAAGTACCGATTGTTCAAATGACTAAGGTTATCAGTTGCCTTGATGTATTTGAGCATCAGCTGGATCCAGAAACTGCATGCCACCCGTCCCTAAGCATCATATACTCCTCTCCGTGGCAACCCGCTCTTCCCTTTAAGTTATGAATGTTTCTTGAGGGTCAAACACATGTTCATATTAAAGTTGTCATTAATAAGTACTTCCTCTTATTTTTAATTATTAGTTAGTTCAGATGGGGAAAGTCAGTGAGCTGCAATATTGTCCATGGGTCATTTCTCAAATGGAAGATTTGGTTAGACTCCTATCCAGGGGTCAAAGAAACAAACACCCTTTCTTCTTTATTAGGAGTAAGAGTTCTTCCAGTCACCCAAGTTTAAAACTTTACCTTTGAATTCTTGATTTCTTATTCACATCCAGATACCGTACTCATTGAGTCTAGGACAATTATCAACTTTAAGATATACCATTATTTTACATGTTTTTAAGAAAGAAGAGATGCTGCCATTAAGACATGCAATTAACCCTAAGATGTATTTCAGTTTCAAAGATGTTAAAACATGCATATACATGCACACACACAAATATATATTTGATGAAATTTGTCAAGTACCATATGGTAGTTTTCAGTGCTACCACCCTGCATCAGGCTCTCATTTTGTTCATCAGAGTATCCCACTGGTCTGCTCCCCTCCCATGTATCCTGGCTACAATCCAGCAGACTTTCTGCCACGAGGTTTATTTAAGGTCGTTGAGCACCCTGTTAAGTAGAGACTCCTACGTGCCGGTAGAATAAAGTCAGAACTCCTCAGCTTAGCCTTCAGACCCTCCACATTTATATTTCCTACCCTGCATTTGAAGTTTATCTACTACTCTTTCCTTACCCAAACTTGTTGTTTCAACAAAGGCACTCCAGTTGCTGCCCGCCAGTCTCGGGCCTGGGAGTCAAGTGCTAGTACTCTTCCCTCCCCATTCCCACCTCTGGACTTTAAACTATTTCTGGCTTAAGTTCAATTACCTTCACAAAGTCTTACCCAGCCCAAAATGACAGTTCCCTTCTCTGAACATTTAGAACGCTCTGTACAGTGTTTTACATATTTCTAGAAACATTTGGAAACATCTACAGAAACTGCTTGGACCTCTGTGAAGTAAAGGTTATAAAGGGTAATTTGCTCAGCACTTGTTGCAAGTCTACGGTGGGTGGCAGGCTATGTTAGGAGTTGGGAAAAATAAGGGTGAACAGAACAGGTTTTGCCTTCAGGTAGCTAAGAACCTAATGAGAAGACAGATATGTAGATAATTCATACAGAAAGAATTGTACAAGGTAATGTGGCTACTTTCCCCCTCCCATCTAGATACCAAAACAACTAAGATACTAGATACAAAGATTTTCCGTTATAAGAGGTGGTCATTTGAAACTAGGAGAGTGGATAAGAGAATTAGTAGAGTGCTGAGGGCAGAACCATGTCCAGGAAACCACCGCAGAGTTTCAATCAAATGCAGCATGGAATTTCAGTATCTAAGTACTGGAAACATGTAGCATTTGGGAACATAATGGTAAGCTTGTTGAAAGCAGTTGAAGTAGCATATCGGGGTAGGACTCTGACTGTCGTCTATTGAGACAAGAATGGGAGAGGAGGTAAGAGGTGAGGACCATTCTTTCAAGAAGCTCAGATGGGAGGAAGTAATGATTGAATAGGGGCTGGAAAGGTGAATGCTAGGTCCCATAGGGGGAATTTTCTTAGATGTCTGAGCAAGTTTATGGGTAAGGAGAGGGAGGCCAGGGAGAAGAGGGATTGAAGTTACTGAATGGAATAACTGATAAAATCCAGAAAAAGTGGGAAGAGGTGGGGTCAAGGACATAGGGAAGGACTGGCCTTGAACGAAGAGAGAGAGAAAACTTTTATGAGACTGGAGGAAAGAAGTGGGGAAATATATACATGAGTTTATAGACTGGAGAGGGGAGAAAGTTGGAAGTTGACCATCCTTGTTGACTTCATTTTCTTCTATGAAGCAGGAAGTATATAGCCTTTCATAACACTGAACAGACTTACTAAACACTGTACTATATGGCATCGCATGGTGGTTAAGACTTCACAGTCTGGTGTCAAATGACCTGAGTCCAAATCCTGCTCTCATACATTCAAACTGTGTGAATTCGGACAAGTCAGTCAACTTCCCTGAGTCCCATTCCTTCATCTGTACAATAGGAATTTATGGGAGTGCTATGTGGATTAAATGTGTTCGTATGTACAGGTCCCATTAGAACAGTGCTTGGGCACTTCGTGCTAGAACCTAAGCATAGAAAGTGTAAGACACAGCCTTCAAAGAGCTTTCAGTCAAGTAAGCCCATTGTCTAATTCTCTTTCTGCTTAAGAGTGATGCCATCCAAGAACCATGAAGCGCTCCCTGCTATTAGGAAAATGTTTCTAAATAACAGTGTATCTTAGAAAACTTTTTTTTAAATTCTGAATTCTGCTGTAGGACATAGTGATAAAGCCAAGAGAGAGAGATGAGTCTATAGAGCTGAGAGAGAACGGCTCAGGCAAATCCCTAAAGCTGAGATCTGAGGTCAAATAGCATAAACTTCTACCCAAGAGGGGAGAGGACAGGTATCCATGAGTTGATCCTGAGTGAATGCAAGCTAGTAGCAGGGAAGTGGCTGAGCTTATGAATATAAGCTCAGACCATTGTCATTTGAGCTATATCCGTGGTTTTTGAAATGTCCCTAGATCAGCATCACTTGGGTACTTGTTAGAAATGCAAATTCTCGGGCCCTACCCCAGACCTACTGAATTGGAAACTCTGGTGCTGTCTAGAAGAAGCCTGGTCCCAGGAGGCAGTCAGCTTAAAAGATGAAGAATAAATGCATATGATTTAGAACCAACCCATTATGGTAGTGTATAATGTGCCTAAAGAAAGGAACGAGATGGAGAGCAAAAATCTGGTGCGAAGTACAGTATATCTGGCCTTGCATACCAAATTTACCAAAAAAAAAAAAATCTATTCTCCAATAAAGCAAAGATTGTGCTGGAAGCCCGAGGATAGGTGATATATCCTTGAAAAGAATCTCCTATACTTTGGCAAGTTTCTTTTATGTGAAAAATGTTTTGAAATTAACAAAGGACTTCCATCTGTGCAAATCAATCCTGACAGTTTTGCGATGCAGGCCACCTTGTCTCAAGTTTATAGATTCAAAAAGGCTTTGACTTGCCCACCATCAAAGTCCGTGGCAGAACTGGAATTGAAAACCAGGTCTTTTGTCAGTCCAGTTTTCTCATAACCTCTCCTAGTTGGCTACTAATTTGGTTTTCAGCCATCTCGCTACTAGAAAGGGGTTTGGAAAGGGGTCATGAGTAGTTCAAGTTATGGGAAGCTGTATCTTCCATTTTAAATTGGTTAATTGACATTCCAGATTATAAATCAGCCTCCTGTGAGTGAGTTGTGTGACTCAATACCCTAGAGTCCAATTATCACTGGATGAGCTGACAAAATTGAGTTTCTGAGCTGGTAGCGCTGAGAATCCATGCCTAGGTCACTGCTTCTCATGGGGCCGGCAGAATGCAGAGGGCTCCCCTGGAGGGGCATTTAAAATCACGTTTTATTGTCATTTCATCAGCATACATCTTCCCCCACAGATTCTGAGATGCCATCCTAGGAGTGTGCACTGCTTCCTGGTTGAGAATCTTGGCAATAGTGAACCAAAGTCCCTGACAGGAAGGTGTTAGTGTAGAGACATGGCTGAGAACCTCAGCCCTCGGCAGTTTTAGCTGCCCTCTGATGTTAAGCTTAATACAACCCCGACTTCTCCTCTACTTTAAGATCCAAATTTGGCAAGTCTTGAATGCTGGCCTAAGTCCGGCTTTTAGCTGTGGGGGTTCTGCAAGGGCCGAATAGGTGGCACCCAAGCTCTGAACATAGGTTCTTCATAAATATGATAAAAAAATGGATGGAGAAATAAAATATCACTTTTGTTATCAATGGGTGAGAAGATACAGCTTTATATGATAGTCTAAATGGGCTTGATAACTTCCTATCCTAAGGAAAGCGAGCAGACAGAGCAGACATCACCAAAGTTGCAGAGCACAAATAGAACAAATACCCCACATTCAATCTATTAAACTTTGAGAGATTAGTGCCACCCAACTGAGAAACATGGACCAAAGGCAATCATCCACCAAGTGGGTTATTCATTCACCCTGCATGAGGAAGAGTAAGGGTGGAGCAACCAGGGGCTCTATGTTCCTTAATTCACTCTATAAAGGCAGAAGTGGGGATAAAGTGTTCCGCCTCCTTCCCAGCATTGGATGTAAGGAATTCTGGAGGAGTGCCAAGGATCCAAGAGGAAGACTGACTTGGCAACAGGTACAAGATGTATTTGCTATGAGTGGGGAGGAAACTTGGGGTATCAGTAAGGAGGCTCCTGGAGATAAGGCATGACTGTGATGATGTGGCTGCAAAATGAAAATTGAACCATAAGAAATATGATCTTACTTCGTTATGGTACAAATGACAAAAGCCAGGCAGGTGACAACCTCAGACGACCTGAGATTCAGGCTGAGCTCTGCTACTTAATGGCTATGTAATTTCGCCTCACCTGTGAGTAATTCCTAACAGGAATTATTTAAACAATCAACTCAAATTTAAGGATCTATTTAAACAATACCTTCGAAGTATATGCTATAGGGCTATCATCTCAGACAATTTCATGTCTTTCAATGCAATCGTTATGCTTACTTCTTTTTCTCATCTTATGGCATTATGGAGATGTCTAAACAGGTCCTTGCATGGGTGAGCGTCTGTAGCACACGGAGAGCAGCGTTAACAACTGTCTTTGACTTGCTGTTGACCGTAATTGGAAATGTTTTTAAACCTTCACCCTTTGGTATATTATTTGTACAGAGTTTCAGCAAATACTTTATATCAGATTAAGGAAGATCCCCTCTGCCACGGGTCTGCTAATTTAAAAAAAATTCATTTATGGGATGTTTTTAAAAAAGCAAATACATTTTCTGCATCTGCTGAGATAATCATATGGTTTTTCTCGGTTGTTACCGTGGGGAATTGCATTGCAAGACTTCAGATATTGAACCATCTTGTTCCTGGGATAAACCCTACTTTGGCATGATTATTTAACGTGAGAGAAATGGCCTAGTTAAGAGACTTGGGTTCCAGGGTCGCCTGTGTGGCTCAGTCAGTTAA